CTTGTGCTCTCTCTCTCTCTCTCTCCAACAAATAAATAAATAAAATATTTTTTTTTTAAAAAAGGGCCACTTTAACAAAGGAAGCTTGGACTTTAGAATCAGGCAGATGAGTGTCCCAACACTGACTGCACCTTCTATGATTGTATGGTCTGGGGCAAGTTTTTCAGCTTCTGAGTCTTCATCCCCTTGTCTGTAAAATGGGGTTAGGGGGTTAGGGTTCCTACAGAGATGTTGTTAGGATTAAATTCAAAGAGAAGAAAATAGAGTACAATGACAAACAGAAGTTAATGAATAGGGAATAGTTAACAAATAATGATACCTTGTTCTCAGTCTCAGTATTCCAACTAATGAGGGTCACAAAACTGCCCAACACTGCCCAAAAACTTTCTTTGGTGACTGAAATGCTTTTTTTTTTTTTTTAAAGATTTTATTTTTAAGTAATCTCTACACCCAACATAGGGCTCAAACTTACAACCCCTAGATCAAGAGTCACATGCTCTTCCAATTGAGCCAGCCAGGCACCCGAGAAATGCTCTTTATCTGTGCTGTCTGATACCTTAAGTCACAAGCCATAAGAAGGCCTGAAATGAGGCTAGTGCCAATTTTGGTTTTTATTTCATTCTTATTAATTTAAATTGGTTTATTCGTGATTAATTTATTATCTTGAATAGCTACATGTAAGCTAGTGGCCACCATACTGGACAGCAAAGATACTTCCCTAAAAGTGACTCCTTGTTCAGAAATCCTGGTTCTATTACTTCAGTGACAGAATAAAATCAAAAGAGCAAACGACATTGGGAACCCCATACTAGGAAGTGCCCAGTGATGCAAGGGGATTCCCATCCCGCAGGGAATTCCAGAAGCCTCCTCAGGACAGCATGTGAGGGAATGATAGGGACTAACCTGGGAAATTTCTATGAACTTTACCAAGGACGGTGCTGATCCAATAGAACTGTTTTACGTAAAGGTGTTTTCCTTGTAAACAGAAAATGAAGCAATAAAAACTGTTACTGCCAATTAGAGGATTAAGAAGTTTAAGTTTCCCTTCACCTCTCACCCTTTTCACTGTGACCTTGCTTTATCCAATGAGAGAACAAGATTCAAGGAGAATTCTTAAAATTATTATTGTGGCCACAATAATCATTCCTAATCCCATGGCTTTCTCCAAGAATGAACCTTTTAAGTTTGGTGCTAAATTTCCCTCCCTACTCTGCTCTGCTTCTCAGAGCTCAGGACACAATCCCCTAACCACTCTCATCACTACTTCATCAAGTTTCTACAAAATGACCATGAGTTCAAAGGGAATTTTCAACCAATTCATGCCTAAGGCAGGAAATTGAAATACCAAGTGCAACAGAAGAATGTTACACAAACACAGTCGAGATCCGCTAGTGAGAGCCCGAGTTTTTTCTCCCCCTGACCCATTTTTAAAGAACTACAAAGAGGAATAAAGGGAGGTGGTATTAATTGGTCACAGGACTTGTTTAGAGCCACCTCTACTTTCCTTTTCTAATTGACTGCTGGGAATAACACCCTCTTCAAGGACTGCTCAGAGGGGAAACGTGCTGGGACAGGAGACCCACTGATGAAATGGCTTCAGAAGCTGAAGATCATTAATTAAGAATATTGAGAGTGAGGTTGAAAGCTTCGCTGGAACAAGTAGGAGGCACAACTCGGTATCAGCTGCGACCTACACATTAGCAATTAAGCCCTGTGAAGGCTCTCAGTGGAAAGTTACAGCTCCCAGGCATCCCTCCTTGGATGAGTGAAGAGTCTCCTGAGGCAACTGAACTCTGAAGACAGTAGCATTGACTCTGCAGTAGTATTTCCAACACCCACTATTATATATGTACGCTTGAGTCTCAGGATTCGGTGTCTTCCAAGCACCACTACCCATTGCCTGAAATACCATCTCTTAAACCTGAGCATGCATCCGATTCACCAGGAGGGCGTGTCACAAATGCAGACTGCAAAGGCTCACCCCCAGAGTTTTCTGATTTCACAGGCTTGAGGTGGGGCCAAGAATTGGCATTTCTAACAGACTCATGGGTGATGGAGATGCTGATGCTGCTGGTCCGGAGACCACACTTTGAGAATCACTGGCCTAGAAATAAGGGTTTGCAACCCTGGCAGCGCCTTACAATCACTTGGGGAATTTTTAAAGATTATGTCCAAATTCTACCCCAGACCAATTAAATTAGATTCTCTCTAGATGGGACCTGGGTACCACTATATTTTAAAAGCTCCCAATCTGATGTAATATGCTAGCTGGGCTGAGAACCACTGCTGAAAAGATCACCTTTGAACTATTTAAATCTGGAGATTACACATACTCTTACAAACTATAGACAGGGAGGCAGATCCTGGTATCTGCTTGATTCCACTTACCCTTAGTGGTGATATTTCACTGGTCATTTTTTTTCCCCCACAACCAAAAGTATAATAAACCTTCTTGTACCAGCAAACCACACATCCACTCTCTCTCTCTCTCTCATTCTCTCTGTCCAAGAATTCTCTGAAGATTTACTAATTACAGCACCTGAAGATCTATGAACACTGGTAAGTATGTTAATCCCCTGAAAATACTGTGGGTAACGAATGAATAAATTTTGGAAATGAGAACCCTACGAGATGAATAGCACATAATGATTCTTAAACATTCAAAATCATCTAACATCTTCATTCCTTCAATCTCTTTTCTCCTCAAATTCATTTTCCTTCTTTGCAAATCAGATTCTGTTTCCTCATCTCTACACATCATTTGCCTGCTTCTAGTCTTCCCTCATTATCTCTGCCTTAATATGACAAGTAGAAAGTTTAGAGTTATTTTTATGAAATAGTTTTATGATGCCTGCTCCTAATCTAATAAAAAAGGGAACTAAATATTTTTCTTGGTGAGAAGAAGCTAAATCAAATTATTTTTGGTATGTACCTCCTGATTAACTCTGCCTTGGGCATTAGCCCTCAACAGGAAACCTATTTCCCACCCTGAATTCCTCAAATTAAGGAACCTTCTGGCTTAAATACACCATGTGTCCTACATCAGTACCTACTGATTAAGTGTGACAGTGCGGTGTACCTCCAAGTATTTAAGGCTAAAGAAGAAGGAATATATCATTCATAATCCAGATCTGAGGTTCTTAGGCAAAATTACCACCATCTTCCACCACCTGTCCACCCCCAATGTGCAATGTCTGGAGACATTTAGGGTTGTCACAATTGGCACCTAGTGGGAGAGAGCACAGAAAAGCTGCTAAACATTCTATAATGCACAGAATAGCCCACAACAAAGAATCACCTGGTCCATATTGTCATTAGTGCCCAAGCAGAGAAACCCTGCTCTAGAAATACTATATGAAGCCAGCTAACCTCTCAGGCATCGGTGAATTTGCCGGGATCTGAGGCCAGCCAGGAGGAGGAGGAGAGAGAGGAGCAAATAGTCCAGAGTCAAAGAAGTACTACAAAATGCCCAGCCAGAAGAGAGAGTGGAGGCTGCTGCTCATCTTGCCAACTGTCTAGAAGAAGAGGGTCCTCTTAGCCTTGACCTTGCTAGACCTTGTCAATAAGGGCTTTTTAAATATATAGGGTTAAAGGTTCAATTTGGTAAAACAATTCAATACCATGATTCATCACCAGACCAACTGACAGACTGCCCTCACTCTATGAAGCATTCTTATATCAGTATTAACTTTTAACAAGGCCTAAACCAGTGAATGAATGAATGAGAGAAAGAAAGAAAAAAATAAGAAAGGATAAATGCAGGAATTCTGAACAGATATTTTCAAAATAGACTCTATCCTTAGTTTTATAAAAATCTAAATGAGTACCGCCCATTCTCTTCAGAGACAGTTATCTAACTATTTTTATTTTAGGCAATCTGCATTGGGGTCTTTGCATAGGGGTGGATGGGGTAGTACTTAAGGACTTTTCTCACACATCATTCATATCATAATGAGATCATGACTATTACATGCCTGTCTTGTGACTACTGAATTCCTAGAAAAATTATACTGGTCAACAGAACTGTAAATATCAAATTGCTCCAGCTTAAAAAGATCAACTCCATGTGTTTAGATCTCAGTGACCAAAACAAGTATGGTAGCTAGCTTTTATTTGTGATACTCTTCAGATTTTAAATGCCAAAGAGCTTCTTAATGGTTTACTGAAAAACCTAAATTTTAAAAGGGATAGTATGCTAAGTACATGCTTAAATGCCTCACAAAATAATATTTCCATTCTAGGGATTCACGACAGGGTTCCTTTAAACAGCAAAGCCCACTGAGTTCATCTGAGCGCTCACCTTCTGTTGGGGAGGGAAAGAGAGCTTGACACTCAAAGACACATCAGAGAAGAATAAGCACCAGTTGGACAAGAGGAACCGGCCTTTAGCTATGGCATAAACCGTCACAGTAACCCCATCTTCTCAATGCCCCTTCCCAATGGAGTTGTTTTAATATATTCTTAAGTTTTACCATGTAATATAAACTCATCTCTAAATTATAAATTTTGTAAATATGTCACCAAGAAATGCTACAAAGCCCCTATTGAATAGGAATTGTTTATCCCAAGCCTATAATGTTCTGTGCCCTAATGCTTCAGAGATATTAGATACTAAAATTTTATTAAAACCATGTTCCTTGCATTTGCTCCCATTATCAATGATGCAAATTCACACATGTGTTAGCTAATGAAGCAGTCAGACAGGGTTTCATAGGCAGAGAAGAGGCCTAAAGGAATCTTTTTTGCCCAAGAGAAAGTGGCCCAACTGTGGAAAATGATATGGGTATCTAAGGTAGCCCCCACAAGCCAAAACTGTAAATAAGGTTAGACCCTCACATAGTTCCATGGTCTGAGTATATGTTACAACGTTTCAAACCAAACACTCATTTCACTAGAGGGATTCATGCCAGCTGGCAAAGCACAGTTGACCAAAAGTGAAAAACGAGCTTGAATTATCCTGCTCGGTAAAGGTCCATACATTTGTAGCAGGAGCCCCTTACCAGAAGAGGGCAATGGTGGGCCCCGCTGGCATGCTGCCACGCTGTGGCACACCTCCAGTCCAGATATCACCTGCCAAGGGAGTCAGACCTCAGCAAACGGCTTGCAGAACTGCTGGCTTCTAAGTACCTCGCAGGCAAAGACCAGCCCCTTTGCCTTTCCGTTTTCTGGAAGGAATTAACAGGCAGCTGCAAGACCAAATCATTCCAATATTTCCAATCGATGATGGAGAACTACTGCTCACTGAAACCCAACCAACACATTTTAAAGTTATCCTTTCTCCCCGCTCATACCAGCCACAAAACTCTTCCCACTCCAAAAACAAGAGGGTCTGTCAAAGATCTCCAAATAGCAAATATTATAGAAATAGTACATTAGAAGCCTGCAACTTAGAGGTGCTGTAAGAGCCATTCTAAATTCAGATTCACGTTCGCTTGTAGTACCCGAGCTTCTCAGACCCCTTTGGTGGAGTCTCAATTCTGTGATCCTCTTCTGCCTCACGAGTGTTTCCAAGTTCTTCTCCTCCAACAGTCCTTTTCCAGCTCAGGGTCTTCGAGCTTTTCTAAACGAAGCATTCCCCAACCTCCTCTCCCTCACAAACGCTTCACTTTACTTTGCAGGCTTAACTCAGTGTTTGCTTTTTAAACACATCTACCTCTAACGAAGGAAAGGATTTGGTTTTGGTTCATCAGATTTCAGGCAGAAGCGAGTAGTGAATGGGTGGGAGGGGCTGGGGATACTTTGAAGAGGGATGGGGCGAGCGTGCATGCAACACTGTTGGAGTTGCATTATTACCTCCTAGGCTGGGGAATTCACAAGCCAAAGAACGGAAGTTCTTAAGTTCGTACCTTGACTTCTCAGCCTGTCCAAAACTATACATTCCCCCCAGACCTGCTCCTTTTCCCTGTTCTGGCTCAGGCAGCAGCCCCCAACATCTGTCCACCTCTGAGACCCTGTCGTCTCCCTTTCCTGAGCAGCCACGTGCAACCCCTCACCACACCGTGTGTCCTTTCCCCGCCTCCCAACATCCCGGCCTCCAGACCAAGCCACCACCCTCCTATCTACCTGGCCCTTAACTGCACCAGTCTCCCAGGATCCCCTAAGTCAGCTCACCTTCAACCTGCTACCAGCCTGTTGCCAGAGTGATCAAGTCTGGCCCTGCCTCCACCCCTCCACTCAAGCTGAAAACCTTTTGAAAGGTCTTCAGCTCTCAGGGAAAAAAAAAAAAAAAAAAAGACTAAATTCCTTATAGTAGCTTATAAGAGGCTGACCATACATCCTAGTCTGCCCGTCAGTCTCATTTTATGCCCTAGTATCCAAATATAACTATTAATAGCACCCCCCTTTTGTCCTGATTTCCACAACAACCCATATATATGGTCTCTTTAGCTACAAGTCTCTGAGGTCTGGCTCCTGCCAACTCCTCCAGCCTCATGTCAATCCACTGTCTCCGCACTCACTGCTGGCCTTTAGTCACTTAATTTTTATTTACTGAACACATACCAGACACCAGCCCTGTGCCAGGAGCTGAACACAGAGCAGAGAACAAAAGAGACAGGACCTTGGCTCTGCTGGAAGGCACTTCCCGACCGTGCCTGCACCCACCTCCCCCTGGGCTCCCACTGGGGCTTCATTCAGCCTTGGCTCAATGTCTCTTCCTCAGGGAAACCTTCTGACGTCTCCAGACCAGGTGTCCCACCCTTTACCTTGCCAACAGCATCAGGTGCCTCTCTTTGAAACAATGGTTCAAGACAGCAATTTTTCCTGCTTCGGTGTCATTCACCTGACTACCAGATTCTTCCAAGAGATGATGAGGTCTGCATCTACTTTCACTAGTTATTAAAGCCCTAATGTTTAGCAGTGCCTGACCCATAGAAGATGTTCATGAGTGCACTGCAGTAAGGAAGGAAGGAGGCATGGAGTGTACCCTATTCCTCAACTCTGGGCCAGGCTCTCCTTCCTAGGTCCCAGTGTGACCCTGAGGGTGCCCAGAATCTTACAAATCCTCTCCTGATCTCAGCTTCTGGCCCTGTCCACCCCACCCTCCTAGGCTCAAACCTGATCCATGCGCTCTGGCAGGGAGCAGAAGCCCTCCACCCCCTCACCATCATCATCACCCCTTAGCTGAGATGCACAAAGACTCTCACTCCCAGAAAAGGGCTGGAAGAAGGTCTACCTGGCAAACCACTGCCAAAGAAGCAAACTGAGCCAAAATACCTCATCAAAAGCAGGTATTCTGAAATATCATCTTTTATGAGGTTTTGAAATATTGAAGTTTCTCCCTCTTGACAAAAAAATATTGTTTGTGGCTTATAAGAGTCCATTTTTTTGGTCACCTTCTACCATTATGGATTAAAATCTCTGAATACAAATTTCAGCTTGGGTATAGCCACCCACCTTGGTGGCGGCAGGGGGATACTAAAAGGATGTGAACCCCTATTCAAAACATTGGTTATTTTCACAAAATGCCACACCAATGGGGGTGGCATGAGGTGGGGCCTGGAGACCAGTTGTATTTTCTGAAACAACCTCACTGCATCCCAGCCATGTGAGTAAGCCAGCAGGTTGAAGATAACCACAGTCATGCCCTCCACAAGGGGAGCCCTTCCCTCCCTCATGTCACCTTCCCAGAGGACCCTCAGGTGCATCCACATCGTGAGGGGGCTGATGTTAATCAAACTAAATACAGGTAAAAGTTCTCATATTTCTTCCACAGCACCGTGGATTACTTAAGTGCCCCCTCACCGTGGCATGTGCACACATAACTTTGGAGACCACTGCAGTCAACCAGAGAAACATCTGGATGACTCCAAGAAGACCAGGAGTTACATAAAGGCAGCAAATGCAAACCTAACAACTTCCAGGAGGCAATGTCAGAAACTGTTAATTGCCTGCAATGAGAATTAAATGGGACCAAAGGAAGGCATTTATAATGACAGAGAATAAAAGCTATAAAGAAATGAAAACTCTCCTGAGAATCCTAGTAAGAGACAGCACACAAATGCAGATGAAAAAGCTACAAAACCTGTTCCTCTAAAATGCCATTTGTGTTTCCATCCCAAAGACTCTTCCTGAGGTTCCCTCCGGAGAAATCACTTCTCCCAGATCCCTGGGGAGGCACCTAGCTCTTTTTACTTGGTTGTTTAACTGGAATGCTCCTCCTCCCGAGTGGCTCTCTGGCCATCCTATTTAATTCCTTTTTTTTTTTAACTAGGCTCCACACCCAGAGTGGAGCCCAACTCGGGGCTTGAACTCATAACCTTGAGATCAAAACCTGAGCTGAGATCAAGAGTCGAATGTTTAATCAACTGAGCCACCCAGGCACCCCTGGACATCCTGTTTAAACTGGAGCCACCTCTAGTCACTTGCCATCAAGCTACAGCTTTTATTTTCTTCATCACACATCTTGGTATCTGAAATTATCTTGTGTTTTTCCTTGTTTAATGTCTGTCTTCCCCTAAAATGTCACCTCCATAAGACCATGAACGTGTCAGTCTCATTCAGCTGAGAACCATTCTGGTACATGGGAAGAAAGCACTAAATATTTACTGAATAAATAAAATGCCTGAAAACAGCAAGAGAAATACAGAAGTCATAGAAGACTGAATCCACTTCTTTCAGCCCATGCCAGATGAGAGAGGCAAAAATAAGACCATAGAGGACATAGAATATACAATGGTGACCTGTAAGATATATATCAAACCCTGTACAATGAAAGCAGAGAATACACCATCTTTTCAAGAATTCATTTTTTCAAGCATAAACAGTTTCTGTATCTATCAGTCTAAACTTCCAATTTCCCAAATGAATGTGAACTTCACTGAAAAGGCAAAGCAGGCGGCAGGTGGAGAATGAGGGTCTGATCCCACAGCAAGATAGCAGCCAAGGTGTGGGGAGAGGTCCAAGCCCAGAAAAGGGGTCAACACCATAAGAAGCTGGGCTACTGCCCAGAACCTGTCTCCTAGGACCCTCCTCCCTCATGTCACATTGCTCAGTGGGCTCTCCATGTACGGTCTAAACAGAAGGATACACTATAACCTAGTTAGCCAGGAATAAATCTAAATATGTATTAATAAGCAGAAGACGCTACAAATACATGCTCCTTAAGCCACTGATGTACTCACTATAAGAAACATCTCAATATGTGTCTAATAAGATAAAGTATGTCCATCAGGGTTCCATCATCTCTATTTTTACATATAATCCAGCTGCAACACTGGTTGTTACTACTGGTGAAAGTGTTTACTAATCATTTCTTATTTTTCCACTTTAGGAACTAAAACCTCCTTTAAAAAATTTGTTTCAATACCAAAATTCATTATTTACTCATAATCAAACCAGTTCTTGAAGCAAAATGGAAAAAGGCCTACAGCCTCTACACCAAACCCTTATGCTCATGCCATAAATAATTTATAGAAAGATGGCTGCTTCTCAGCGACAGGCTCAAATTCCCATTTTAATCAAAACTGATTTTGAAATCTATTTCTCAATTTACATGTGGTCAGGGAGCTTTTCCCCACGTGAGCTCTCAGACTCCTTCATGGAAATGGGCACTCTTCCCAAACTCCTAAAACTTCAGGACCTTATTAACCACTGGTAATCATTTTCTTCTACACTCTTAACTTCATCAAAGGTTAACGTCATGGTGGCAGCTTCAGAAGGAAATCAAAAGCGCAAAGCCACAAAACACCAATGGTACCATGTTCACAGATCTTTCCAAACGTGCAAACAGACCTCACAAAGGAAAAAGCTTGAAGATTCACTGAATCATCTGAACACACAAACTTATACCACAAACATAAAGACTAACCAATAAACAACAGTTCCAACCAGTATAGTACTGTGCTTCAAAATTCCAAATCTGTATCTCAGCGACTGCTTTGCCTAACTCTGGGGCAGGTAACATAAGAAAGCCTTTGTATGCTATTTTTGTTTCCAAAAACAGTCTTTGTTCATCCCCCTGCAAAGCTTTTAGCATTTTTTTTTTGTCTTTACGACGAAGTAGATTCCCTTAAATATTAAATGAAGTGTCAGCCTGTTCATAACGGGGTCCCAAAATGGATTCCTAGAAC